TGATGAAAAATATTATTTTATTGAAAAATATGTGGTTGAAAATGAGTAGAAAAATGTGAACGAAAAAAATAATGTGGGTCAAACAAGGGCTAAATTTGTTTCTTCATTTTTTTTTACTTTTGCTATTGTCTCTCGACCTGCGTAGTCACCCTTTTCACTCCAATTATTTTATCGAGTCTCGAAAAAGAGTTCTAAATAGTGAGAATTATATGATTTCGATGTAGAAAGAGAAATAGTGAGTTTTGCAAAAAATCAAAATTCTCGACTTTATAACCAAATAATTCACATATTTTTATGCCCTCAATTACTTGAGGATATCAAATCTTAACACGGTATTGTGTGGAGTACATTAAACTTGATTTGACCCAGAAAAGGTATCAAGCGGACGAAGGTTCAATGAGCGTTCAACTTACTCCTAACACATTGCATAAATCCAACCTAAGACATGTAAGAATATTGTGATCAAAGTAAAGGCATTTATGCACTCAGTTACCAATAATGCACTCTAATTGCTTACCATACGTGATTAACTCTATGTGGCAGATGCATTAACATGTTCAAGAGTACATAATCAATTAAAAGACTATTCCTAGAAGTTGTTCCAAATCTAACCTAAGTGTAAGGTTTTGATAAGTTACCATGGCGCGGTTACGTCCATCTTTCTTGTTGCTCACCAATTGCTCCATGTGCTTTGCATCAAGTGGATAGTCAATGCGTGGCGCCCCGCGAATTATTCTTCCATGGAATAAATCCTTGAATTCCTGCAAAAGATAAACATCCAAATTGGGGAGGGAATTATTAGTTCTCACTAATCTCACACTCGACTTTTCTTGCATATAAGTTCACCTTGAAATTTTCTCTCCTTTCTGAATTTAGTGGGCCCAATTTCTAGGGGGCCCAATTTTTTTCTCCTTTTTTCTTTTTCAAAACCTCCCAAGTTAAGAGTCTAAACCAAAAGCTTGAGAAATTAACAGCAAAACCTAGAGAAAGAACGACAGTGGAGGTCGAAGCTGATGTGGTGGCCGTCAACACTGTTTCACGATCCAATTTTTTTTATTGCTTTTTCAATGTTTTAGGTCAATTTCAGATCAGGTGAGTACTTCTCTATGTAAAAATAAAATAAAATTGATTCGATTACATACCATTTGTCTGTTTCCTCATTTAATCTCAAAGATTCGTTCTTTAGTTGAATTTAATGTATTTGTCCTAGCAATTTTAGCGAACTAGTTTGAAATTTAATTTAGGATTTAGAGCGTAAATAAGAGAACTGAATCCTACAGATCCCATTGGGCAATGCCTAATTAAGTTGATAAGCAACATGTGTTTCTCAGCATTTATTTTCTCAGTCCTTATATATCCGTGGGCAGGGCCGGTTCTGTGATTTTTGGGGCCTGAGGCGAAAATACGAGGGGTGGAGGGGGGCGGGCCCCCTCCCGAGGGTTAGGGGCGGAGCCCCCGAATTTTTTTTTTTAACTAAGAGGATTGAAAACGACGATTTTGATTACAAAAATAGGCAAGTTAAATGGATAATAGAATTATATATGCCGACAAAACTTCAATTATATAAGCCGACGAGACTTCAAGCATTTTCAATATATTCAATATCAAGTTAGGGCAAGCCATTGCTTACTTGAGAAGTAGAAAATCGACAAAAATTATGGAATCACACCCTATTCCACCATCGCATCTCACAAGCTTGAAATCAAAAGTTCACATTAACCACGGCACCATCACTTTTTAAGCTACGGAATTTACCTTTTTTAATCAATAAAATGGTTAAACCACATGGAATTGGGAATTAGGTTATAAAATGGAAAGTTTAAAGAAACAATGAATGCACTAACTTAAGGAGACCGACCATATTTGCAAATTAATTGTGATATAAACGTGTTTTGGAAGATTAAGAAGCAATATATAAATCATTTATACCACTAAAACTAATTGAACAGCAACAATTATATAAAATAAGAACACAAGTAACCTTCTTTTCTCTGTGCTGAAAGGAAGATTGGCAAAAATAAAAAGGTTGACATTCGCTTCAGCCTTCATATATATCTAAAAGAAACATCAGCTTCATACAAAAATCTTATCAAAGTTTATGGCTATTGAATTTTTTATAACAGCCAAAAATAATTCCAAATTCTGTATCTACCAGTGATCAGATTATTCACAAAATAATAAACCAAAACTAATGAAAAGAATAGCACTCTAGACATTTTAGTCAAATTAGATTGCTTAAATAAACAAATATATGATACCATGTTGAGCAAATAACTCGAGAATAATTTAAAAATTTTAAAAATATCTGACGATAAATTCAAAACCCACTAAAGAGTAACCCCAGATCTGGAGAAAGGATTTTCAAATAAGTAAAATAGTATGAAATGGGCAATCAAATTATTAGAGTAATTGCCAAAAATATAAAAACAGAGCTACACGTCTAACATGATTATCTAAAAGTTCTAGTGTGAGTGAGTGGGTGGGTGTGTGTGTGTCTGTAGAAGAGAAAAAGAAGCTTACTGAGTGCAGCAGCAGAGTCTGAACTTTGAGAGAAGGAAGGGAACATGCCTAACTTCAAAAAAAAAAAAAAAAATGGGGGGCCGAAAAATGAGGCCCCCTCTACTTTTGGGCCTGAGGCGATGGCCTCACTTGCCTCGGCCCAAAACCGGCCCTGTCCGTGGGAGTCCTCTCGAGCTCTGACCAAGGTCTTGACGGAGGTAGAAAATGCTACTTTCAAAATGGGTTGATGGCCTATAGGATCACTTGTCCCGATTACTGAAGCTTCAATTGAGAAATCTGAGGAGGAACTTGAGAAAAATGTGACCTTGAAATCAGATTGTGAGGATTTGCATGTGTTGGTAGATTGGTTTTGCTTCATTCTGGGTTTATTTAATGTGTTGACATACTTATTATGAGTAGTTGAAAATATTTTAGAAGATTTAGGCGGAGAATCTACCTAGAGGCATGATATTTAGCTTTTTGCTGACTAATGATATTTTGGATGCACATTTTATTCATTTTGTTTGATTTCATGCTATCATTTTATGATTGAATTCATACATAAAGACAAAGGAATGACCAAGTTGGGTCCTAATCCCAAGTCATAAAAATAAAAGTTTGATTGATATTTTTGCCTCAAAAATTGTAAGATGAATTGTATTTAAGAGATCGTTTAGAATATTTTCGTATTGTTATTTGATTGCAATATAAATATTTTGAATATTTTATTTTTATTTTTTGCTTTATTGTTGATTTTATGTTAACAAATTTAGTTCCGTATGACTTTTATAAATTAATGGAAAAAAATGGATTGTTTGCTATGAATTAGGAGCTTAAATTTTGAAATTCGTCTCAAACCTTGCGAAACACAGGTACGACACTACTGACAATTCATGCATAAATTACTGAATATAAAAATATAAGGAAACGAATCGATTGCACAATAGTATCTTACCTTGTTTATTGAAATGTTGTAAAATAATGTACGTGAAAAACCTTTTCGTATGTTTCTCTCTCTTTGCCTTGACTATCTCTGAACATGTCTTTGAATAAATTTTTCGTGGTGAAAATTTATCTTGACTTATTGGAGTATTTATAGTGAAAATAAATATTTAGAAATTGAATTTTAGTGCAATGATAATACAAAAGCCGTGTACCACTACCACCACAAATTGAAAAAGAATGGGTTCAAATGGTAGAGTTAATAGTATATTCTACTATTAGTTTCCTGGTACAATCATCCCATTGGAAATAGAATACGTGACCTACATGGACTTGGTTTCAAAAAGTAATATTTGAATTGTACTACGCTATTGGTTTCATATCAAATAAAATCAGGCGTGGTGGGAATTAAAAGAGGAAAATAATTTTACTTAACTAATATTGCAATCCCCCTCCAACTCTATTAACGTATTATTCTCTTTAATCAGACTTAACTTGATATAGTCTAATCCAAATAACTTTTAATCCAAATAACTTGCAAACATTTGTTTTTTTTTTTTCAAAAAAATTAGTCAAAAAAAATATTGAGACTATTGTCCTAGGCTGCGCAGCCTAGGACATCGGTGTGCCAAAATGATGCAAAGAAATAGCACGTTACAAAATTGAATACCAATCAACTCACGATGTTAAAAAGTTAAATAAAATTTCAATCGTGCTACATGTACATCATCTTTTACTCCCAATATTTTGTAACAACAAACCATTGGATATTTTACAAAAATAAACAAGTTTCCCTTCTATCCCTTTTTAACACCGCATCAAATATCAAATTAGATGTACACTTGAAGTGTACATCTAGCATTTTTGATAAAATTATATTAACTCAAAACCAAGAAGTCAACAATGAGACCTAGCTCGTCATTTGAAGAAAATATAAAAACCCTGCAAAACCTAAATTAAATTAGAATGGAACTGCAAATAACCCCAAACTATTATAAAATTTAAAAGTCCCAAGTTTACTAAACTAAAATAAGAAGTAATGAATGCAGCTATGAGTCTATCTTCATCACAAAATATTCTGGTAGTCAAAAAAATTTCCTTTGTTTTGGCTTTTCCCCCGGATATCGTTCACTTATCCTTTAGAGATCTTCTGTTTCTTTCCTCAGTTCAGTAAAATTTACAAGAAAAATCGATCAATACATTAATTATAACTAAAAAGAAAAGGAAAAAATGACCAAAGAGAGCAAGAAATGAACTCTTTCACTAAGCAGAAACAAATTTCGAATTCAATCAACAGAAACAAACATCTTTCTATCAACAAAGAAGTATCAAGAATATTAGAATTGTATACATCATTTATTCTATAAGCATAAAGACATTATAGGTTCTGATTGTTGTTCCCATCGGGATGTCTGGATTTCTTGAAAATGAACCGGCCGGATTTCATACAGAAACAAATATGGAATTCAATCATTCTATCAGCCAAAAAATGTTACTTGTTCTGATTGTTGTTCCCAACGACGATCATGGATCTCCTGAAATGAACCGGCCTTGTGAAGTTAAGCAACACCACTTCTTCCCAAGTATCTCTTGAAATGAACCGGCCTAGAGCAGATAAACAACACCACCTCTTCCCTTAGTCCCATTATGTCATAAGGAATAAGTATTCTTGAGAATGTAACGATTCCCAACTGTGAATCTCCTTCATTTCGCCCGGGTACGTAAAGGCTCTCAATGCAGCAGGTCCCAAATCGCCTAGTCATTAACCAAAAAAATAAAATAAAATTCCATAAATAGGTTTCTATATGCATGTAAATACAGCAATTTTCTACACTTTACACTAATCAAGGAATAAATCATTAAGTCTTTCATTCTATTCTACTTATTACGTACCTCGTAAAGTAGTCGTCAATTTCTTGCGGAAAGATTGGTGGGAAATCAGTGGAAAACTTCATGAACAAGGTTCTATCACGATCGATCGGGATTCTTTCAAACCGTGGTACATTTGCTGGAATTTCTTGCGGAAGGATTGGTGGGAAATCAGTGGAAAACCTCCTGAACAAGGTTCTATCACGATCGATCGGGATTCTTTCAAACCGTGGTACATTTGCTGGAATTTCTTGCGGAAGGATTGGTGGAAAATCAGTGGAAAACCTCCTGAACAAGGTTCTATCACGATCGACCGGGATTCTTTCAAACCGTGGTACATTTGCTGGAGGTCTAAAGGGCTTCGCATATGGGTTCAGTGTAGACCCGGATGATTCTTCTAAAGTATTCTTGCCTTTATCCATAGAAACAAGATTTGAGAAAATGTTTGTATAATCTTGAATTCTTCTTGGTTCTCGAAGAGTAATTTTTAGACTATATTTCTCTACACAGCAAGAATAATCGATACGTACTCTCTATACATAAACATTTCATTAGACTCAACTTTTTCTAACTAACTTAGCCAACTCAATTCTTGATCTGCTGTAGTCGATTGCAGAAAGTTAAACCTTTCTGTGATGCTTTTATGTGTCTGAATTCTGAAGTTAAATTGCGAAGATTGTGAACCACTTATATATTAACACAATCATCTTTCCTTAGAATTTAGAATTAGATTAACAAAACCAAACATGATTAGTAAAACTCAAGAATGTTTAGACTCTATTTTTCTCTACATATATCATGAAATAAAAAGAGTTAATGGTTTTGATTGATTCCGAAAGTGCGTGGAATGTGACAAACAATAAAGTGGATTTTGAGTTCAAGTATCGTACATGGACTAAATATTTACTAAATTAAATTTATTTAGTAACTAATTATCAAATTCAAGTGTTTTATCTTTTTAACTGAATTACACTAATTTAATTTAATATAACGAGTTTGTGGAAGACTTATGGGATTTAGTGGTTGAAAATTTCGATTTCACTTAATTTATTTTACATTCATCTAATTCAATTTCATTCAACCCATTTTTCATGTGCATTAACAGTTGAATTAATCAATTTTAGTTAATAGCCTCTTAAAAAAAAAAAAAAAGACCGTATTCACATGTCCACATTTACTATATTTTTATGTAAATTCATACACATGTAAAAATATTCAATTTTTATAATTCAATTATGATTGCATAAATTATAAAAGTATCTTTCTATGTGTTATCAAAACTTATGTTACTTATTTCACGAACTAGAAAAATATATCTCCTCTCGATTTTAATATTATCCTTAAGCCATGGAATCGGTGATCAAGCATTTGAATGTCAATTTGACACACAATAAGCAATTGATACATAATCACATTGACATGGAATTTATTGAATTAAATAAATATTAACCTAAGCTACGTCATTCATCCAAACAATAAGAAATTTAGCCAATCATAATATTAAAATTAAGAACGGATGAAAAACATTAACGGGTTCAACACAATGATTAAAAGAATTATTTCAAACTATTGTTTTCTAGCACTCAACTCCCAACAAAGATCTTTGATTCTTTCGATATGTTGTATATATTATCAGTTAATTGTGTTCTTCAATCTTTAAATCCCAAATTAATGTACATATCTTGAGAAATTTATGTATTTTGATGCATAATTTAGCCTCGAGAATGTTAATCCAGACTCCCCTTTTTATTTGAAAGCAACAACCATATTTATAGACCTTAATTTATGTATAAAATAAAGTTTCAAGAGAATGCAGAACCATAATTGTGATTATATTAGATTTTTCAAAATGATTAATCTTCTTGTACATAATCCCTTACAGAATCTGTTATAGAAAGCTGAGTTGTTTTTTTGATACCAAAATATCTTTACTTATTTTGATTGAAAATCTACTGAAAATCTCGCCCTGTAATTTTTAAAAAGAATGGATCTTTCCCAATCTCAAAACCTCTCACCTGCAACTCTTTCTCTGTACTCACGATAGACTCGCTTGAGACTCTCTCTCTGTACTCTCTCCAGGTTAGTAGCTTTCGTGAGTTCTGGACGAAACAATAACTTGTATTCCGGCGGCCCGCTTTTTATCCTATTTCTTCAAAAACTGAATTGGATGGCACGATTTCATCTAAATTCCGACGACGGAGTTTTTTAGGAGCTCTTTTGCTTTAGAATATTTCGGGTCCAAGATGCTTCTACTAGCACACTTTCCGGCTTCATCAAAGCATTCAGAGCAAATATTACTGGACTTCGATGTGGATGACTCTACTGTTTGGAATTCGATCCACTCCATAATTCTCTTCGATCTTAATTCGTCTTGTGATACCAAATTAGCTAACTTGGTAAATGATATTCTCATACCTCACACGCAATATGCAAGAATGAGTACTCAGCAGATAAGACCTCACAATAAACATTTCCTATAAATTCTTCTTCAAACTCTCCGAATTTCGAGTTTGTGTAGACTGATTGGAATTGCTTATCTATTTCACACCTTGTTGCATATGAGACCATTTGTGAAAATGATTTGAAATCGGATTGAAACTCTTTTAAAACTTTACTACTCAATGCCTGCTCATATTGCTCAACAAATTGCTTTAGTGATGTTTTTGAATGGACATAGCCATCAAAAAATGCATTCATCCTCTCACTTCATTGGGTGGTTGACATTCCAACCTAAAATGAAGTTTTCGAATAACATGGTAGCCATTGACTTCTCTTATTGTATGATCTTGTCAACCAACCATGTTTTTGCAACTAATAATGGCAAAGTAATAGGACTTCGATTTCACCTATATTTTTCCACTTAAAGGCTCAAAGACCTTTATTAGAACAATAAAAATTGAATTTATATTTATGCCATCCAGGCTAATGAGTGCTCCAAAAGGTAAAGAGTATTCAACTGTTATTTGGATACAAAAATTTATTATATTTGTTGACGATAGAAATCCGATAAAAAAAATCCCGTCACCTAATCAGGATTTTCACCTCCACTGATTTTAATGCTCAAATCGGAATAAGAGGATAAATGTCTATTTGCGAGGGAAACATTTGAACTTTTATAGCTTTCTTCTCTTAGACTAAAGTTTTTATAGATTTCATTCAATGCTTCAGGGGGCAATTGAGTCTTTTTGGCTAAGCAACATGTGGCGGCCTCTTATAGGCTGATTTGTAACTTATTATGTTTTAGAATCGCGTTTTATTTATTAGCTTACGTGTCATGTGTTCAATGGCCTTCAAGTCACTCTTTAAATGCTTTACCCTTGTATGCTCTAGTAACGATTTTTTTGGTCAGAAGGTAGAATGGTTAACTTCTCTATATGTGAGCCCTTTTACCCTTTACATATGGTTTGCACTTTGCGAACCAAGGATGAGTTTGCAGAATAAATTTCTTGATTCAATAAATGAATCTCAAAATCCGATTTTATTATTTATATTAAATTTAGTACTTATTTATGTTCCGTTAAATTGTGAACTTACCGATGTCATTATTTGCACAAATTTCTCTTTGTTTATTGTGACTGATATGGCCTATATTGAGAGGGCGTGCTATAATTATGGCTTTTTTGCGAGCGCTACAGAGGCTTTTTTGTGCATTTCTAGTTATGCGTAAACTAGTTGGATCATTTTGAATTCTGAATCGGGCACTCCTTAATATTCAACGGTTGTGATTGCCTGGATTATGAACGGTTGTGATTGATAATTACATAGTTTGAAGGGCTAACGCTTTTTGTTAGAATCTATAGATACATCATTCGTCACTTCTTCGTTGTTCTTTTTTACTGTGCTATATATATCCTCTTTGACGAGTTTGTCTTCTGCCCTCTTTTATCTCTCTTAAACATTTTTCTTAGGTATGTATTCTACCTTCAACTTGTTTTTATAATGACTTTCAGTACAGTGTCTTCCTAGAGTGCATCCTAAAATATATCTCATGGTTTTGAAGTAGAAAAATCTAGGCATAGGGACACCCATTTCGATGTGCCTTCTTCTTCTGAGAAAATTCAGTGCACTGAGGCATTGTCTCACTCTATAACTAATCCATCCAGTTCTAACCTGGAGCTTCTTAAGTCGAGGGATAGTTCTTAATCTAGGGTTGAGGTGCGCGAACATTCTAGTGATTCAGATAACTTTAACATTAGCGACAGAGAGGTTTTTTGAAGCCTTTCAAATATTTATCAATCTTACCGAGAGGGATCCGAATGAAATTTGAGACCGCTTTAGCATCCTTGATGACATAGAATTGTTATGTCCTTCACAAACATTCAATGGATAGGAAATTAGAGTCCCCTTTCATCATTTTTTTGTCATATGTTCTTCATTCAATATTGCTCCTACTTAACTTACCTCGAACAGGTGAGCCCCATATGGTTGGGTCATTTTTTTTTTTTTTTTACTGAATACTACGGGTTTAGAGGGAGAGCTTTCATCGTAGCTTTCGGACAAACTGCCTTAATATTACTTGAAGAGAAGTTTTACAAGTAAACACTTAAAAGTGTTTGCCTTACCTACTCTATGACTTTACAAATGAAACCATACAACTATTTATAGATGTTAGAATTTGGGTATGACCCGAATTCCTTTTTGAAGTAATTGAATAATTCTAATTATAGCGTATGTCAAAAGGAATTCGATTTGGAATGCATTGGAGTCTGATTTAAGTTGAAATTCTATTTAGAAGCCCTATTGAAAGTTGAAATCCGTATTGAACTTGCAGAGGTTGAAATTATGGACCGGAAAGAAAATTCGCCGCATTTTCGCTATCACTCGAGCAACACCTGTAGGTTTTCTCCCGATACTTGGTTGCTCGTTCATTGCGTGCCTGGAAGGCGTAGGTTTTTAGGCTATATCTTTTATTGTTCGCCAAGGGACTCGCTAAGGTGCTAGTTGTTATAGTGCTATTTTTAAAAAAGAATAGTGAGTTAATGGAGTAGGACATGTCACTAGCTTATCGCTCGAGCGATAAGGTTATGCTGCCCAGGCCTTTTTTGCGTTTTAGCACGTTTTTGACATTCAACTTCAACTCCAACTCATATATTAGGGTTTGGACGTTGCCCTACATAGTTGCCTATATATACTTGGCTCTTTTCTACAATTTTATGTTGTGAGAATAGCGTGAGAAAAGTGATTTCTAGATTTTAGGATCATTGTAATATTTCTCCATCTTCATTATTTGTGGTGCAATAAAATCTCATAATTCCTCTACCATATTTTCTTTTCTTTTTTATTCTTTTGCTTACGATCATATACTTCATTATTGTGTCATATAATTTCAACATCTCAATCTGATGGTTGGTCTCATATCAAGTGGTATCGAGCAATACTTGATCCTTGAATTTTCAACAATTGATATCGGAGATTCTAGGTA